GCTTATTTAATATTTATTTAAGAAAGAAAAATAAAGATTTTAGGCGCACTTAATTCTTAAATGTCCTTCTGATCAATAAGTGCACTCTCTATCACTTTCACACTAAATCTCAGGTGGAATGACAATTCGACGTTACAGATCATGGAGAGATCTGGCATAGGACCGACAGCTTTACGTACTTTCCGAAACATACAGATAAAAGAATTTCTTGACAGAAAAATCTACTAGCTACTTTTGGCGAGCCCCGGGAGTCGAACTTTGGACCTCCAGATCTGCAGCCAAATCAGCTAACTACTAGATCAACAAACAATTACACTTAATATAGAGCAATGTGAAAGGCATTGAGTACTATTGATCAAAGGTTTGTTTATCTTTTTCCTTAGTTCATTAAACTGGTAAGTTCATTATTAGTTTGTATCAAAAATTACTTGTATGTAATTCCTTAATTAAATAAAACTTTTACTTTACCCTTAAATTAGCAGTAGAAGTCCTCTGGTAGCGTTTTAAGAAACCAAGTGATACGAAGCTTCCACTCTGGTCCCACCTTTCTAGGAATTTCATACGCGAACCATTTTCACCATGCTTAATACTTGCTATAATACAGCAAAAAACATTGTTAGCTGCACGTCTGTGAGAACCTAGCTAGTTCTTGAAAAGTGTGTGAAGTCAACCATTCCCTAGGGAGCGGAAGTACCATAACAGTGGGATATATTTTCATCTTTACATTATATTCTTCGTCTTCATATAACGAGCAACAGTTTAGTGCTAAGAAAGTTATTAAACGTCGTATAGGTTACGTAAAATGAAGTTTTATGACATCTTGATGTCATTCAGAGGAAAGCATTGAATATATTAGAAGACATGTTTTTCCATTTTATGAACTATAATTTAAAATTTTATTGCCTTTTACTATTGCGACCAACGAGCCGTAAAAGCTTATATTGGTTATTGATATTATTGGTAACGTAAAGCGTTACTTCTTTTAATGGACCTAGGTACTACTGGACTCAGCTAATAACATTTATTTGATCTGCCTTTTTACTCGTACTAGCGACTCACCCTCGCTTCGTTCGGGTTCATCCATAGCTTGCTTCCCAATACAAACTTTCATCCCTATTTTCATCCCCTTAAGGGATGATTTCCGGGATGAAAAGTATTCTATGTCCTTCCCAGGATCTCAAACTATCTAATTATCAAATTTCATCTAAATTGGTTCAGTAGATCCACAGATTACCCCCTACAACGTCACAAACTCACAAACTTTACCTCTTTATAATATTTGTCGGAGACGGTCATCAATACGGTCACTAAACGAAGCGCGGCACGACGCCTGAGTGATGGCAGCACCTTCGGTATTATCGCCAACACTCGGCGAGCTTCGTGCTACGACGGAGCCTAGCTAAAGGAGGGGTGCTAAGAGGGCTGGACACTTGCCTTCGAGCCGAGCCAAGCTTAGGACCGCTCCACTAGGAACTGTCTTGCGTTCCGTATTGTCTATACTTGGTAGGTTAATAGTGAAGTGGTATATGGCTGTGTAGTGAAGTGCTGTTTAACTATGTACAAAGTGATTATTGTTAATTTGAAATACAACTGTGATTGCATCGACTTTCATTTGAACCAACACTTCCCATATAACGCCCACTGTATAGTTCATGATAAAATAATGGAAAATAATAGAGAAAATTAATGAAGCTTCGATATATTAATATAGAAAAGAATAATATTGTTAGATTCTGATGTAGCATATATACATTTAAGAGATATGTATTTAAACTAACATTGATAATTTTAGATAAATATTTTCAGTCTCTTGTTGTACCACTTGTGTATTTTAAAAAAATGTTTTATTTTTTTAATATTTTTATGAATATAAATTACTTTGATCGGCATAGATTTTATAACTTGTTATGAATATTTTAAATAAAACTATCTTTTCGGATTTTGTCGCGGATTTATTTGTTATACAAACAAATCCGCGACAAAATCCGAAAAGATAGTTTTATTTAAAATGTCAAATATTCGCGTAAATCTAAGAAAGTATTTTATGAATATTATTATTTAAAACTAATTGGATAGCATATTTTCTTATAGAAAGCAACCAGTCCTCAAAAATTGGTGAAAGTAAAATCTTATGAAAAGCGAGAGTGGGTTTCGTTGTATTTAAAAGTGTGATAGGCAATAACATCTCAAATTCGATTCAAGGGGCCTCATTATGAAGATCTTAAATACATTTTGGACTGTTTTTGTATATGTGCAAGGTTTGTATGTATGTATGTTTGTTACTCCGTCATGCTGAACGGCGGGGTGACATTTTTATTTTATTAATACATATATAAATATTTTAAATGAAACTATCTTTTCGGATTATTTCGCGGATTTATTTTGATTTTTAGTTCCCGACGCGACGTTTCGAATGCTTTACAGCAATCATGGTCACAGGAGAGACTAAAGTTATAGACGTCTCAAAGGCATTATACACTTGTTACAGACCGTGCCTACCCACTATTTTAAAAAAGTGATGATCTTACAGTATTTGTTGATTTTTATTTATAACATTTAGTATTTGTTTTATTTCAATCGCTTCATAATGGTTTCATTGTTACTACTGTAAATACATACTTGGGGCTATTTTTGTTGTTTACTTAATTAAATAAACGACAGATGTAGTGGATTCTCTATACCAAATGATAAGAAACTTAAGATTTGATTGTACCTACTATTAAACATGAAATACAAATTTATCAATGCAAATATGACTTTAAGTCGACTAACTAAATATAAGTTAAATACGTAAAATACCACTGTTTTTTTAGTATAAAATATAAAATATTCGTTCTTGGAACCTTTAGTTGAAATAATTGTAAGCTTACATCCTAAGCAAAATATTATCCAACGCGATTATTATCCGTTAAATATTATTTATACACGTAGAAGAAAATTCGGAGAAATACGAAAATTCCTAAAGATTTAGGAACATGATATCGAGTACTAAAAATATTTAACTAAAACTATCACGTTCAAATATCTCACTTCTGGTAGATTTTGAGGGATGCTTTTTATTATAATTCGTGGAAAAACATTTCGTGGAAAATAATGTGAGTATAAAATCCTGGGTCACGACAAACTTTGCATGTTAATAAGAGTATAAATTACGTGTGACGTTATTTTTAAAATCAAGTCATACAAATATCATATTTTAAACTATATTTATTGTTATAATATTTTATTAATTGTAGCTTTGCTTAACTAAGCATTATACGCGAGATGAGTTCAGATATAAAATATAAATGGCTTTTTATTCAATAAAGTTTAAAAATTTATATGGTGAGGCACCACTGAGGTACGTATAAGGGATTGATTAAAATAATAATTATAAATATCGGTTAACAAATGGGCGGCTAGCCATATCTTTTGACCGATTTCAAAAGAGAGAAGTACTCAATTCGCTTGTACTTTTTCTTTATGTATATGTTATTCGATATCTTTTCCAATAATTGTGAATCGATTAAAATCGATTATTAAAATAATTCTTGTTTTAGTCAATTCCTTCCATCTCTACAAACTGAATCTTATTTGCGATCATGTATATCACCCATATATACCCATAATAGGGATGGAATTTATACAACTAAGTGATTTTCAAGTCAGTGTACGTTACTTATAGAAGTAATTAATCAAATTATTAAAATATTAACTATCAAACTGTTATTACAATATGAAGCACACCTTTTACTCTGTTATTGTGTGTAAGAAGCAGTATCTTTAAAATATATTTAAAATATTATGTGAAATGGTATAGATGTTAAATTGATATATTAAAACCATCTAACTTTTTTATAGGCTATATATAGTTTGGAGGTTATGTTGAAATTCAGCCATGCTCTCTACTCCCTAAAGAACACATTAACACGTGTAAACTAAAATATTCAATGAATTAAAAACCACTTCTATTATAAAATACTACAACAAAAAGATATCTCAGATAACACTTGAAAATATTAAAGGAATTTTTAATGAATATTTTATTTATTGTGTGTTGCATGAATAAGATATTACATTATATAAATTATACAAGAGTATTGTAAGCCACTACTACGTTCCAGTAAAACGGTTGCAGCTTCTTAAAATTCCACTCTATTTAACAAAACAACTTACTTAACAAGGTCATTTGATGTACTCGTACTTACTTTTTACCCGACCTCGGAGAAGCGGCGAACCTCAAAGGAGGGTTATGTTTTGACCTGTATGTATGTATGTTCGACCCTATGTTCCCTCGTAATTACTGAACGGCTTAGCTGATTTTTTAACCCCCGACGCAAAAGAGGGGTGTTATAAGTTTGACGTCGATGTGTGCCTGGCTGTGTGTGTCTGTCTGTGGCATCGTAGCTCTCAAACCGATGGACGTTTTCAATGCGGTTTTTTCATTTGAAAGCCAGTTTCCTTGCGGTGGTTCTTAGCTATGTTTGGTTAATACCGGTCCAGCAGTGTAAGAGTATCAGCTCTTTTCCAAAATGATGTAAGGCATTATGGCGTATGATTACTCGATTAAGTGCTTCACGCGTGCCAATGGAATCGTTAAATGACAATTAATTTGCGTAGGGGTTTTTTTAATTTTAAATTTATAATTATAAAAATAATGAAAGCGTCTTATGAATTTAATCTTTTATTCATGTATGTAGATTTATATATATATATATATATATATATATATATATATATATATATATATATATATATATATGTGGAGGTAAGGTAGCTAAAATATTTAAGACAAACAAAACCACAATACAATGAATTTTAAGTGACAACTATCTTCAATAAAGGAATAACTTTAAATAAAATTTTAATACTTCAAGATTCTTAGTAATTTTAATCAAACAATATCATTTTACTTAGTCATATTATTATTCCAGAAAACTTATATAATATAACTGTTTAAAATCATTCAATTAATCTGTTGGGAGGGATGGAGGGACTCACGCCATTTTTTATTTGAATCAAGGTTGAGAAAAATTTTGACCGTTGTTTTCAGCTGGGATAAGATTTGATTGCAAACTTTGATTGTTTGTTCCACTTAATCTGAGAAGATTTGGTTGCAAATTTTGGTTTTCAATCGGCCGAGGGTTCTGCTGTAAACTTGGAACGTTTTGCTCGTTTGGCTGGACATTTTGATTTGTATTTTGAAAAGTGCTAAAAGAATTTTCTACAAACACACTAGGACGTAATTCAAAAGATTGTGGTTGTTTTCTGAACTCCTCTAATGCTTGCCAGTTGAGAAACCAAAACGGTTGCTTGTCTTCTGGTAACTTGCCCAGTCGATTGACCAACTCTCTATCCCCTAGTGCTTCTATAGGTAGTCGCTGAGTAGTGGTGGTAGTTGTGGTTCCATTTTCCCCAAACCTGTAATAATTTAGATAGATATAATATTAAATACTTCTCGTATATCAACAATCAAAATGTATAATATTTCTGAGATTTAAGATTTTTGGCAATATTTAAAATCCATACTAATATTATAAATGTGAAAGTGTGTTTGTTTGTTTGTTTGTTTGTTTGTCCTTCTTTCACGTCGAAACGGAGAGACGCATTGGCGTTATTTTTCGTGTGGAGATAGTTGGAGGGCTGAGTGTGACTAGAATACTTTTTCCAGCGAGAGATTATCTAATTTCCACGGAAAAACACGTTATCATACAATCCAAAAAAATATTTATGATCAGAATTACTTGAAACTTGGTATTAATGCTTTTCAATAAAATTAAATACATATGTGTTTTAGTATTTTTCGAAATTTATCCTATAAAGGGGTAAAATAGGCGATGAAAGTTTATATGAAACTACCTTTTTAGATATATTTTTGTAGTTTTAGCGCGAGCGAAGCCGCGGGTTCCGCTAGTCTTCTATATTTTTGAATAATAATGAAGGTCTCGCTTGCTTTTAAGTTTGTCATTAAATTATTTTAATATTTCCTAGAATCAATTATATACTTCTTTTGTTCTATTCTTCGTTGCTCTAAAATAAAATTGGATCGGTAAAAGTTTTTATTACCTATTTCCTAAGTTATCAGTAGTTGTTGTTGTAGTTGTAGTGTCAACTATTGGAAAGCCTATAGGTCTGCGTCCAGCATAAGGTGATCTTTGACTGTTACAGATTGCAATCATAACAGAGAACACGATGAAGTGGCTTGCAGTCATTGTAACTTCTGAAAGCAAAATGTTAATTAGATTCCTTCACTGTCGAATTTTATTTAGAATATTGAGTAAATGAATTTGAATTTGTTACTGATTTATTGGTCTAGTGGCTAGCATGTAAGTCCGGAGGTCTTGGGTTCGAGTCCCGGATCAGTTCAAATTTAGTTAAACAGTTTTTCTGTCAAGAAATTCTCAGTAATAGCCCAAAGATTGCAAATGGACATTGAGTGAAACACCGTGCCTTGGAATAGTAAATGCACTATAGTCTCTGCACACTTTTGTGCACTATAATATTGTCTATGCATAAAGCTAATAAAATTGACCGCCGTGGCCAAAATCAATCAGGAGAATATTATAATTAAATTTCAAATGTAAATTAAAATATTTAAAATGAATAATAAGATATTTAAAATGAATAAATGAATAAGAAGATAATATAAAATTATATATGGAATAGTTAACCATTAGTATTTGGTTTATTTCTTTGTTAGATTATTGTTGGTACGTGTAAATGTTCGTTATTTATTCTTGACAAAAATTGCATTTGTATTCATAATACGCGTAAAAAACACATGGAGTATCTCATGGTTTTCTTACCATCCTATACAACTAATAAACTCGTGGGTATGTCTTAAAAACCACTGACATCTATTCATCTGTGTAAAGGATCACAGAGGTGTCTATCTGTCCATCTGTCACGGTTTATTGTCTCTTATACAATATATATGTTAACATTTTGTAAATATAGGGTTAGACGGTTCAATAATGAACGTGTAGTGTTAATACCTTCGCCAATTATTGTGAATCGATTTTCATAATTCTCGAATAGATGATAAATACCCTCAAAGGTATGAACTATATAAAGTAAAAAAAATCATATTACAATAAATGACTTTTAAGTGATTTTGAATTCGTCGTCCCTTTTAATAATTCATTGATAATAATCTATTGCGTTTTTTTTTCTGTCTGGAAGTCTGTTTATTTCTTCTTTTGGGTTAAGTTTTTATTTTTCCACTTTTAGTGTAGTAGCAAATTTGTATAAAGATTTTTTTAAATAAAATATTGTCTTCACCCATTTAAGTTAGTTTAATGCCAATGTTTGTATATAACTAAAAAACTTAAAACACTAAAAATCTGGCTTTAAAATACAATTCTAACGTAATAGCTTGTCCAATCAAATAAGCCAAACTCAAAGTATTAACTAGTAGCCGTTGAAGAGTTCCACTAACCACTTTCTGGCATCACCATCAGATCAGCTTGATGCCGCGATGATATTAAATAACTATACTATCATCGGAATTACAAACAATTGCAAAGTTTCAAATCGATATGGCAATTAGAAGTAAGTAAAAAAGTCTTATTAAAGCTGTTAACATACTTCAAACATGGTTTTCTCTGATTTTCTGAAATCAGTCAAGCCATTTCCTAGAAATCGGTGAACATAACTACATAAAAGAAAAACCTACAGAAGAACTAAGAACCTCCTCCTATTTTGAAATTGGTTAAAAAATCATAAAAATTTATTTTTGCAGTTGAAAATGAATGACGTAGATGGATTTTATTAAGTATTTTGATTTACATTTTGCTTCCAAGTGTGGCCAGACTTGCACTTGACCGATTGTTCTTTAAAATTATTTAATTTTCCTTTAATTTGTTTTACGGTATTGCCATTTGGTTTGCTAAAACCTGTTTGGTTATATGAGCATTAGTATGGATATTCGTCTTTGTGACGTAGCGGAACATTATAATGACATATGAGCACTACAAATCATTTGCATGATTTTAGCAGATCTGTTTCTGAATAAATTAGTACGCTTCAAATATTAACTGCGATTGTGCTTTATATTAGAACAATCTAAATAATACAGGTGGGCAAATCTATTGAAGTTAAAATAGGGAAAATTATGTATCTATATTAAAAAAATAGTTATTTATGTATGGATTGGATTGGATATGGATTGACGACACGTTTGGCTCAGCTTGTAGTGACCCTACTTGCTGTGCCAGCGGTCGCGGGTTCGAGTCCCGCTGGGGGCATTCATTTGTGTGACGACGAATGTTTGTACTCCAGTCATGGGTGTTTATATTTATAATATGTATGTATTTAAAGTTATATATGTGTAGTGTATCAACTATCTGGTATCCATAACACAAGCCTCGTAGCTTACCATGGAACTAGACGATGCTGTGTATTAATGTACCAACATATTTATTATTTATTTATTTATTTTTTATTACAGATTATTTATAAGTAAATTTATTATCAAAAAGGATCCTTAATCTTATTTTTTTATTATAATTGTTTGACTATTATTTCAATTGTTTCTTTTTCATTAATTACTAATGAAATAAATTAATGAACCTTATCAAATTATGGGCTAATAATTGAACTTTATGATTAAATGAACGGAAAGTAAACATATTTAAAATATTTTAAGTAATAAGTATTATAAGTAAAAAAATGTAATTTTTTGCTTCTTTTTTCACTGTGCAGTCAAATTGTAAGACTTAAAAAATTTACTCGTAGTTCCCGCATTATAGTGATGAAATCTGACACGCAAATGAAGAATTTAAAATCCTTAATTTATTTATGCAAAAATGTATATTCATATTATGCTTCCACGACTTACTATGTTTGTTTTTATTATTTATACGGATAATTCGCGACATTTGTCAGTTTAAAGCATAAACGAGAATATTTCTCATACATAGGTACATACCTCATAATATTTTAAAACGTTTAATAATAGTAAATTATTGATTCACTGACCTATTATTTAGTTTATGGAGATCGATCTGGTGTTTGTTAGAATCGTATTAAACTGGATATATTTTGAATAGTTTCTAAACTTTCTTACTTTGAGCAAAAATGTGAATATTAAAAGTTATTTGTAACAAAGTAGTAACAAAGCAATAACTTTTCATGTGTTTAATGGTTAGTAAAACCACATCATAAAATACTAACAAAAGGAAAAACTTGTTATTTAATGAAATAATTACTCATTGAAAAATAATGTTAATCTGGCAGCACGGCACGGAAATGCACCCGCCAAGTTGAGCAAAAAAGGGCACAGCCGTAATATACTTTTTTCGAAGCCATTCAGGACATTTTCGAGCCCCCTGTAACTTCGTTGTGGATAAAGCTAGAAGCCTGAATTTTCAGTGACTAAAAGGACATAATATAACTAGGTATATTCCTAAATTACATTCAATTTTCATCTGTAGTTTAAGAACTATTGCAGATCAAATTTCTTTAAATCGTCACTCACTCCCTTACCGATCATCAAAATTCTAAGGTACTTGTAGCAAGCACACGAGCAAGGAAAAACTAAAACATCCCGCAATTCCAGTTCCGGTATCTAGATATATAACAAACTGCATAAGTAGTTTTGTAATCTATACTAATACATATTATAGAGGTAAAGTTTGTGAGTTTGTGACATTGTAGGGGGTAATCTCTGGATCTACTGAACCGATTTAGATGAAATTTAGTAAGAAAATAGTTTGAGATCCTTAGAAGGACAAATGATACTTTTTATCTCGGAAATCATCTCTTAAGGGGGTGAAAATGGGGATGAAAGTTTGTATGCGGAATCAACCGGATGCGGATGATCATGCGGATGAACCCGAGCGAAGTGAGGGTGAGTCGCTAGTCCTATGTAAATAGACTAGCGGCTCACCCTCGCTTCGCTCGGGTTCACCTCTAGAAAAGCACAAACAGATCTATCCCACGGGAACCGTTCATTTTCCCGGGATGAAAAGTAACCTGTTGTTTGATTGGCAATATAAGGTATCAGCATGCCAAATTTTACTAAATTAGGTGCGTAATTTTTTGTGTACTAAGCTGTATAAGTTACTATAGTTTTTATACTATCCCACAGAAACTCTTTAATTTTCTGAAATGAAAAGTATTTTAGATTCGATTCGGTCCAATAGATTCGGAGATTAGCCCGTACAAACAGAAAAACAGACAAACAGCTCGCTCGGGTTCGTCCATACATACGAATATGTTGTATTATCTCTTTAACCATTTGTCCAAATTATATGCAGTAAAAGGGAAAAGTCTTTTGTTTTAAACATTTTAGACGATAAAATTTACTTATTTTGATAAGAATTCATAATTGTTGATAATATGATAATATGACCAATAAACATGACCTACCGACCTAAATTATTCTTTCAATATAAAAAAACTAGTTTTTGTGACTTAAATATAAAAGTCAGACATATGCTGTCGCTGACTTTTTTGTAGGCATTATTAAGCTCTACAACTTTTCTCTAGAACATAAACATATATCTCTCATCGTTAAGGCAGCGTTCGTAAGAAACGTTTTCGTTCGACCGTTTTTTCTCCAACTTACTTTGCAAATCCGACTACCACGAAAAAGCCTTTTCATTGTTCGGGTTAATATATAGCCTATGACACTCAGAAAAAACGTGGCTTGCTATTGGTAAAAGAATTTTGAAAATCGGTTCAGTAGATCCAGAGATTACCCCCTACAACTTCACAAACTCACAAACTCACAAACCCACAAACTCACAAACTCACAAGATCACAAACTTTACTTCTTTATAATATTATAGTATAGATATGCGATTACAAAGCTACTTTTGCAGTGCATATAATTAGTCACTCAAACTACCCAAATGGACAGGTAGGTAAATAGTGGATAATATGTGATTACAGTAAGTCATAGACGACATCTCCTTTAATAATATACCTATACTATACTTATAAATCGGTGCAACATGACGAAAGGGAGCGATGATATTGAGATCTTGGCGCTCTTATAGCAGGCAAAATTGAGTTAAGTATATGTACAAGAAATAATATCAGAAAAGAAAAAAAAGGACAAAAACATAAGAATAATATACTATTTTATAGTCCTAATTCTCGGTATGCTCATACCGCTAGCGGGTCTAATTTATGCATGCACAAACATAAAAATGCGCTCAGAACGCTAATATTAGATAAATTTTGTTATTTGCCGTGTGCGATGACC